CGATTTTGGTGGCGCGTTCACCCAGAGCATCCGGAGCTCTGTTCCGTGGAGCCTAGCAACCTCCACGTGACTGTCCGTGTTGTCTGTGTCTGTAACCGCAACTCAAGCAAGTTTTCCAGCCTGCACCACTGCCATCTCGGTGTAAGTAAACAATCTTTAAAACTACCGCTAAGCGTTTGTGCCTAATTCCAGCTCGTCGCCCTCCCTCTCCGATCCAGCGTGCCCGGGCTGCTGGCCACAGCCCGCGTGCAGCACGAAAAAGGGCTCGGGTTGCTCCTGGCCCGCACAGAGGGTTTTGATTACCATCCTCTGTGGAACCTTGTTTAAAGCCCTCCTTACTAGGTTGGCCAGATGACACCCATTCTCATCAGATGGATCCCATCTCTTGATAGTAGTCCTCCTCCCAAGAGCATCTGCCTGTTGTCAAAGAAGCCAAAGTATTAACCACTGTCTCGGCCACGTGTTTGCTTCCAGGATATGACAGTCTTTGCCTGGACCCTTGCCTTCCAAGGAAAGAATCAATGAGAACACCACTTGGTCCTGAAGCCCCCATCCTTAGGGGCTTGCACTTCCTGCTCTCTAGAGTGCAGCCTACTATGACTCATGCCTGCAGCTACCGTCTTCTCTGCCTTTTCCTCAGCAGTTCCATTGCAGAGTGCCTGAAAGTGGCTGCTGACTTCAATCCACTGTTCTTCAATTCTGGGACCCCTCCTTCGAGTAATCACATGCTGCTACTTCTCCTTATTGCCCTTTGGCCTCTCCGGTACCAGCCTCTCCTAACTCTTGTCCAAGTAATGTTCCTGGTCCCTGATGCAATGCAGTGTGGGTACCCGTGCTTCCAGTCTTTGAATCTTCTCCAGGGCAAACTAGCTTAAGCCTGGTGCAGACTGAAGTGCTCCTGACCTTCTGTGAGGAACATGAACATGGTACATCCCACGCAGGTCACAACAGCTGCCCCAGAGACTCTGTACCTCCTTTGCTCCCTGGAGAACATCTATGCTGTAATGAGGGAAAAAAAAGACAGGCAGGGGGAGGAAAGACACACCACAAGAACCTGCACACCAAACATCTACACTCGAGTCCTTGCACATGCTCATACACATATGCACAGTCTCCTGTTCCCTGGCTCCCTCCTCAGGCTAAATTCCTCTCTGTTTGCTGCCCTCTGTTGGCTACCTCACATGGTTTTCTGGGGGCTGCCTTTTATAAGGCTGCTTAGCCTCGCTCCACCCCTTACTTACCTAAATCAGTCCCACCTTGTCACATAATCATCCCAGAGGGGGGAAGAAAAAAAAAGAAAAAGAGAGCGAGCAAGCAAGAGCGAGCAAATACACGTAAGGAAAAAAGGATAAAAACTTCAAACACATACCAGGTTCTAGGCAAACACTCTAGCACCAATCAGGCACCCTAGATTACTAGCACAAGGACTCTTCAAGGCAGTCCCATATCTGAGGGCAGCTGCTCTCTGAGTGTTGCTCAGTCAGTATGATTTGGAACTGATTTGGCTGATTTGGCCTGGAACAGGAAGTGTATTAATAAAAAAACCCAACAAACTACTCTCTGATTACTGCTCAGCATGAGAGGGTGAATGCCTACAGGGCACTGGAGGATGGGGAGGTTCACAGCATCTCCAGGAAGGGGGAGAACAAGAGTTTCCACGGGTTGAGCACATGGTGAGGAGCAGAGCTACATACCCGCTTGATGTGGAGCCGCTCGGGCTCTGACTTGGCAAAGCAGAGGCGGGCTGCATAGACAATGAGGCCAGGGATGCGCAGCAGCTCCATGGCTGTCCCAATCAGGCTGGATGTGATGACATAGTTGACGAAGAATGCGCCATTATCAGGGAGGAAAACGCACCTGTCCCCAGATACCACAAGGAGGGCAGAAAGTGAGCTGGACTCCGTGTAAACCACCAGGGACATGCTGCACTAGGCTGGCCATGAGGAACTCATGCTGGAGCCTCTCCGAGGTGGTTCCCCACAGCATAGTTGGGGACATCTCAGGCTTGCTGAGTTCACAAGCTTAAGACCCTGCCGGCTCAGGGGGGTTACAGAGAAATGGTGCCAAATCCTAGATGCCTTGGGAACCAAGAGCAAAACCAGTACATACAGACTACAGCCTGCTCCTGCCTGCTTCTAGACATGCATGTGACTTCCTGAAATTTCTAGTACAAAACCACAAATTTCCAGCACCCCCATCCAGAATCAGGGTACCCTCAGGTACTCACTGGAACTTGATATCAGCCTCGTCCAGGAAGTGAATGTCAAACAGCCAGCGGAAGAAAAGATCCAAACTGGGTGAGGAGGAAGAACGGGAGCCAGTTAGAACAAGGCATTCAAGTGAGGGACAATCAGGAGCAAAGTGGCCACAGACTCATATATACATGTTCCACACGCATAACAGAAGTGTGCCTTGACAGGTTAGACCAACAGCTCTTATCAGAAGGTGGGGCTGATATGCACCTTAACAGATGAACTAAATAAGATAAGGTGTACGTATATATAGCACCAGAGCTGGTCTTAGGGAAAACGGTGCCCTGGGTGAACTTGTATTTTGGTGGCCCCCTCCCCAGCTCTCCCCACCAAGTCACTGGTGCTGTGTGCATGGGGTGTGTGTTGGGGGGGGGGGGGGGGGGTGTGGGGGGGGGGGGGGGGCCTGGATGGATGTGTACAGGTGGGCATGTGTGGGGAGTGTGGTGTGGGTGTGTATGTTTGGGAGGTGTGTGTGCATGCACGAGGAGCACACATGCCTCAGTGGCTGTGGGTGATGGGATCTTGTGAACTATTGTGGGGCAACACATTTCCGCTCACATGAGATGTTGGCTTGGTGTTGGGCAGCAAGGCCAGAGAGCAGCAGGGGCTCAGTGGGCAGCAGGAAGGGGGGGCAGCAGGAAGTGGGGGCAGGCAGGCAGCAGGATGGACTGTCTGCACAGGAAGCCCAGACCCAACATCAGGATGCCACTGCCCAGTGCTGCCCACACTCTTGCCCTCAGTGTTGTGGCAGTGGCCAGGGTGGGGAAGGGCTGCAGCTTGGCCTCCAGCCCCAGCAGGTTGGTGATGGTGGTGGTGCAAGCTAGGGCTGCCCAACTGTGCCACCTTCTTGCTAGGCACTGCTGCTTTGCCCTTGGTCTGGCCCTTGGCACCCTTCTCTTGGCTTGTCATGGCGTCTAGAAGCATCTGCCACTGTCACTCAGGGGCTTTTTATCCTGTTGTCCCATGTGGCTGACTCCAAACAGGTCTGGGCACAGCTGGGAAGGAGGGGGGATGGGCCGCACTGTCCAGGCCCCAGGATTAGTTGCCCCCAGAGTCCCCTGACAGCTCCCACTTGGCATGAGCAGCAGGGCAGGGCAGGACAGATGGATGCATGCATGCATGCATGTGGCAGCCCCCTGATCATGGTGCCTTGGGCAGTTGCTCATGCCGCCCACCCCTAAGGCCAGTGTGCTCGCTCGCATGCTCTCTCTCTTGAATGTTTTGTGAGCTGAAGCTCACTCCATCACATGCTGTGGAAGGACATGCAGAAAGCAAGGTATACAAAGGAGAGAGAAATTAGAATACAGAAGACAAGGGGAAGGGAAAGGACAGTGAGACAGGCAGTGATGTCCAATTAGGATGGCAGACATCCTGGGGTGCTGCCAGATCTTTTATAAGGGGCCGTGAAGCATGAGGTGTTAGGAGCTAAGAACTTAGCTCCTAAGTTCTACATCTTAGCTCCTAAGCATCTTAGCTCCTAAGAACTACATCCGTAAGAACTACTTCACAGTCAGGGCAGCTAGGATCTGGAACCAACTTCCAAGGGAAGTGGTGCTGGCTTCTACCCTGGGGGTCTTTAAGAAGCAGCTCGATGCCTACCTGGCTGGGGTCATTTGAGCCCAGTTTTCCTCCTGCCCAGGCAGGGGGTCAGACTTGAAGATCTACAAGGTCCCTTCTGACCCTTCTTCTATGATTCTAAGCAGATAAACTAGCCAGGTAAGTGCAGGCTCAGAATTTCTGGAATTGGGAAATCCCCCATTTCCCAATTCCAGCCCCCTGTGAAAGGAGGTAAAAATTGTAATCTATAAATTAGTCTTGAAATTGTGGCCACTCAATTCACAACAGGTCTGAAGGGTGCCTCAGGTGCAAAGAGGCGTGCCTTGAGTCCAAAAAGGTTGAGAATCGCTGTTCTAGGGCCTCACCTGAATCTGGAACACATTTAGCACCTTTTGTTTGGGTATTTTGCAAATGATAATGATACTTAATTAGAACAGTGCCTGGCCAGGAAATGACCAGCTGATACATATGGCCAAAGGTGGCAATGAAGTGCTTGTTAGTGGTTACAAGAGTGGAACTTGCCCTACGAAGGTTTAAACCCAGGTAGGAGCCTGGTTATAGTTGGCTTGGAGTACTCATTGCTATTGTTAAGGGCTCTTGGAGAGTGCAGTTTTCTGAATGCCCACATCTCCAGCGGGACAAAAGGGCACAACCCCTTTATGCTACAGGCAGCTGAGCATCAGTTCAGCCATCCTGGGCCTGCTCTAAGCTATGCTGAGGCATGCAACACTCTGACCAGCTCTAAAATAAGGGAGCCCCAAAGGAGACACGGAACCATCTTTGTATCCAGCTGCTTTGGATCCTGTACGGCACTAGAAACTGAGAACCAGATTCACAGCCTACACCCACGAGCAGAGAAAGGTAATAAGCCATGTTAGTCCAAAGTCAGCAGAAGGCAGGACAAAGTAGGCTGTTTACCTACAAAGGTTATGCATTTCTGAATGTTAGACACTAAGGTGCCGCCTTGCCTTGCCTTCAATCTACACCTGGCTACAGATCTTTTCTACAGATCAGCTGGACAAGAGATTTAATACCTAGAACTGATCTACCATATTTACTCAAATATAAGAAGAGGTGTCTCCCCCACCTTCAACATGGGGAAAAAGTCCCCTGTCTTATATTCACGTACAAAGAGGAGCAGGGAGCAATCAGCTGCTGTAACTCTGACTCTGGCCCTTAGCCCAGGTTGCGGCCAGTCAAATCCACAGCAGCCTCTTGTACCCCTCTCTGCTTCCCCTCTGAAGCTTCTTCCTCCCCCACAGTCAGGCACAGCTGGACTCCAGCTGGGCTGGGGTCTCAGCCAGCATGGAGAACATGGGAACTCCTTCCCTTGCCCAGCCAATCAGCAGCACTGACAGAGCTGCATGGCAAGACAAGGCCTGAGCTTCCATGTACTGTGCTCCTCTGGGACAGAGCAGCCTGAGAAGTGTCTGACAATAAGAAGAGTGGGGAGGGGAAGAGAGAGACTGTGGGAAGCAAGGGGGAAAAGAGACAGAAACTAGGGGAGTAGGGGGAGGGGTGGAAGCTGTGGGGAGCTGGGGGTGCAGGTGGCGGGGTAGGGACAGGGCAGGAATGTTGCAAGGGGAATAAGTGACCCCCACCCCCAGCCATTGCTTTCAGGAGTTAAAGCTCCCAAGACATGCAGTGACTAGGAAGGACTTGGCCTGTGGGTTGTCCCATACCTGGTCAGCCCCAGTGAGGGCAGAATGATGACCATGAACACCAGGAAGAAGTAACACTTGTGCATTGTGAGCTGATTTTCATTTGACCTAAAGAAACAGAATAAAGATCTTCACAAATCTTGGAGGAAGAAGAGACGTCCACAAGGACTGAAGGCCTGGGCTTGGATTGAGAGCTCTATGTGGGGTCAAGTGCCAGTAGCACCTGAGCTGATTACTCTGGGTGCTGAGCATTGCTAGGGGAGGTCAGAACCTGTGCCCTGGCCTGCAGCAAAGCCTCAGCAAGGGAACATGGTGTAGTGCAGCCAGCTGGGGAGTCCCTAGTCTCCAAATCCCCTCTATGCCTTGCTCACTGCCACCATCTCACTATGCTGCTCAAAGCTGAAAAGTCAGTGTTTGGAGGGTAACTTAGTGCCTTTGGAATTGCTTGGTGTGTGAGGACTGTAGTGGCTGCTTATTAATGGAGACCAAAGTACTTACACCATCAAACTGGCTAGTGTAGACAAGGCCAGGGGGGATGAGTTTCTCAGGGAGCAAAATTATTTCCTCAGGGGATGGGGTGCTTAGTCCTGACTGCACACAGGCCTGGGGGCAGAACAAGGACCAATCCTGCTCTGACCCCTTGGGATGAAATAGAGGGGACTTCCTGGGGCTTTTCATCTTTAACCCAGATCCCTGGTGGCTCTGAAGAGGCAGCAGCTTCCAGGCTGTGGGCTGGAAGGACACGAGTTACCTGGTCCAGTGCGACTCGAAGAAGGCGGAATAGTACACAACAAAAGGCAGGAACACGGAGAAGGCCCAGAGCAGCAGTGTAGGGAAGAACTGGGTGACAATAGGATTCTGACAGACGGAGAGAAGAAACCAGAGACAAGGTTAGGACCCTGCCCAACACCAGGGTTCTGGAGTGAGGAGCAGGCTGTTATTCCTCAAGCTATACCACAGCAGGGCGCAGGTCCTTGTAGATGGGCTTGTGATGTGAGAAGACTGTCTGGCAGGCAGACATCTGATGAAGGGGCAGCTGGCAGGCTTGTTCTATCCCTAGAGGTGAGGCTGAATATAAGAGAAGGCTCTGTGGGGTATAAGCAAGCACTTAGGGCCCTTGCTATGGCTAATGGCTCACTGGGTAAGAAGGGGCTGGATCAATGCTCTGGGGCAGCTCAGCACTTAATGGATTCTGTAATGTCAGGGCAGTTCTGCAATGGAGAGTTACCAGTGCTGAGGATTCCCCATTGCCTGCAGGCAGGGAATCTGCACCTGTGAGACCTCACCCTGACAGACAGGGCCCCAGAGTCTCTGCCAGAGACTCAGGTGGCTGACAAGGACCTGAGCTTCCCCACCTATGAAGACACCACCTGTGTTTGGAGACTGGGGGCCTAGCGCCTCTCCCCAGGCTGGTGCAGCATGGGGCATATCCTCCCCTCCTCAGGGAAGCAAGGGGATGGATAACCTCCAGGTAGGGGAACTTGGGGCACGCTCCTGGGCCTGACCTATACAGCCTGTGGGAACTGGGTACCTTGAGGCTCTCTACAGGTCGTGTGACATTGAACATATCAATGGTGTTGACGATGATTGCAGGTGTGGTGAGGAAGAAGAGTAGAATGAAGAGGCAGATATTGAGGAAGATGAATCGCATCCACCATGATGCGCCACGGACAGATAAATTCTCCCTGTGGCAGAAAACAGATTGAGGTTGTGCGACACGGCTGTGTGGGCAGGCAACTGGGGTCATCCGTTTGTTGAGACTCAGCAGCCTCCCCTCTGCTCACACCCTCACATGCCTGTGCATGCTGTATTGTGTGTCCTCCCCTTCCTCCAGTATGCTTCCTCCTTCCTGACTTATCTGTGGCCTTTTATTGTGTTTCCTGCTTCTGGCCCACACATCACCTTACTCTGAACCATATGTTTTTCCACAGCCCCACCTGGAACAGGGCCTTGGAGCACCCTCAGCTAGCAGGAGAATTGCTACAATGGGGGTCTGTGCCTCTAGAAGGGTCTCTGGATTTACTAGGCCAGAGAAATCAAAGCTAGGGAGAAACATAATTTCCCCATCCCTTCCCTGACTCAGTGAGTCTTGCAACCTTTCACCATGGTCCCTCTGTTCAGGCTGCCAGAGGCAGATTCTCAGCCTTCAGTGCTCCCTAAGGCCCAAGAAAAAGATGCCCTTCAATTAAAACCTTAGATCACTCCTCCCCCAACCCCCAGGTACAAGGTCAGCCCTGCAGCAGTATGGGGATTTACCAGATGATGTCACTGGGGGCAGGAGCATAGCGGACACCCCAGCAGTGAGACTTTACCACGGTGGTCACGGAGGACTGCTGCGGGTGCTTGCGGCAATGGATGCGGCTGTAATCCTTCAAAATCCTAGAGGAGAGAAGGGACCACAACTAATGGGACAGATTCCTGCTCTTTTAGATGAGCAGAGCAAGAGAAGACAAGGGGTTTGGGACACCCCACCAACCTAAACAGTCTTTCCCCAAGCACAGGTCCTCAGCTACTGTACTCAAGTGACAGAACCCAGCTGGGACTGAGCCACTATTTGGGTTTAGTTTAGAGAAAATCCATGAGAAACCATGGAAGCGTTCAGGGTGCTCCCTGCTGATCCACAAGAGAATGGCCCAACAACTGTACTCGCGACAAGTTATCTCCTGGGTTCTGAGAGGGCAATTCCGATGTGTGGGGTCTCGGCCTCCCTCTCCCACTCACACAGCTGTCATCCTCTCATCCTGGAATGTGACAAAAGCCATGTCAAGGCGTTTCAGCGTGATGCGGTTGCGCTCAGCATTGAACTCATCAGTGAGCTTCTCCTCCAACTCCCCATAGTACTGCTCGGCATCCACCTGAGGACAAGAGGAGAGGACACTGTGAGAAGACACTCGGAGAAGACCCTCTTTCCCCAGAGCAGTCAGGAGAGACAGCCCAGCAGAAGAAGCTGTGAGAAGGAGTGACTGAGCAATTCAGGCTCATCCCTCCTCTGTAGGAAGGGAATAAGCAACCCTGGTGGTGGCTGAGGCCTGTGGTCCAAACTAGGACAGACGATGAACCTCAGCAGTGGCCAAGAAGACCGTGCTTGTGAGCAGCATTCAAGGGGCTGGATATCCTGCAGCCATCCAACATGGTCATAACACAGACATTAAATAATAATGCTCAACAGCTGACAAGTTCCAGTCCAGGAGCCACAGCTGTAGTGAGTCAGCTGTTGTGGGGAGGTGCCCAGGGATGTGTGCGTGAGTGAGATTAATCATGCATCATCCCAGCCTCTCCAAGCAGACATTGCTTGCAAAAGAACAGCAGTTAAATGTGTCAAGGAGATGCTGTCTGGGTTAGAACAGCTGCAGGCTGATGGTGCTCAGTATTCCCACATGGCCTCTAGAGAGCAGTAGTGGGTGACTGTTTCCTCCATACAATTCATACACTTTTCAGCGTGGGCATCTCATGGCCCATTGACCCTACTGAGGCTTGTTTACCGATCAGTGCAAACCTCTTACCTCCAGGGTCCCTCACATCTCTGTGACAGCCAGAAGACTGAACAGCAGCAGCTACAACCCAAGTTATCCACTGTGGGAAGCAGGCTGGGAAGCACCGCAGCTCAGTGGCTGTCAGAGAATGAGAGCAGCAGGTGGAGAAGTAGGGGGGAGAGAGTCTCCAGCTCTAAACCCCTCTCCTCTCCCTGCTGGCCACAGACAGATGTTCTCCAGCCCCACAGTCCCTCCACCTACCAGCTCAAAACCACAGATTCGGCAGCAGAAGATGCGGGCACATGGGTGGGTTTTGATCATGATCTTCCCCTCTTTCTGCGCCTTGGTGGTGAAGTAAAGTCGCCCCTTCATTGCCTTGCGCCTGGTAGAAATAGGGTCAAAGTGAACACTGAGTAAGGCCCACAGAGAAGGGAATAATCCTTAATGCAGTGGTCCTCAATAGGTTGAGTGAGTGGTCCACAGCCAGATTGAGCCCCACGCTACATCCACCCAGCCTGGTGCCACGATTGGGCCTCGGCATGCAGGGATCAGGCCCCGGGGCTCTGCAACGCCCCACCCAGCCTGGAATGCTGAGATCAGGCCTCACTCAATGGGATCGGGCCTAGGAGCCTGCACTGCCCCTGCATGCCAGATCAGTGCCAAGGGCCTCATGCTCGCCCCACATGCCAGGATCAGACCCTGGGGCCCCACACTGCATCCTGCATGACCCCATGCTGCACTACAGCATGCAGAGCCAGGCTAACTAGCCCACAGGGTTTCCCACTGGGCTGGAAATTTGATAGCACGGGAATGGTGCCATTACTCCCCATTGCCAAATTTTTGAACTGGTGGGGAGTCTAGAGAGCTGGATCTAGCCTGCAGACCAAGGAGTGAGCACCTCTGACCTAATGTGGTAGGAAGGAGCCTTTCCAGATACAACCTGATGCTCACCATATCTCCCATAATGGCTATGCCCTCTACATCTCACAAGGATGTGACAGTCCTGGGACACCATGGTGAACATGGATCGGGGGAAACCTGATGCTCTTCATAGATCTTGCTATGCCAATACCACTGGGTGTGACAGGGCCCACTGGGACTAGAGAGACATTCAGTACCCTAGGCAGAGCCCTGGCCACCATACGAGGACACTAGGAAGGGAAAACATGCAAAAAATTGCTGGGGGAAGGGAAACTGCCTCTGCTTAGATGTGACTCTGGGTGAGGTGACGAGGCTACTTTTGGGTAACCCATGAAAGGCCTAGAGAGGGCAACTCATCCACAGACACTCAAGCCAACCAGGAAAATGATGCACAGGTACCTCAGCAATCACCTAAATATGACTGGCAAGGAGGGTCTGTGATTAGCAACCCCCACCCCTCAACTTACCTTTTGGCATCCAGCTTCATCAGCTTGCAAACGTCAAAGCAGAACTGGACATTGGTGACTGTACAGCTGGGATAGGCCTCACTGGGGGACAAAAAGACAAAGCTGTGTCCCTTCCCTCTAGCAGATGCAAGAGACACTGGGCACTCAATTTTTCTAGCTCTGTAGCTCTTCAGGTCCAGCAAGGGGAGGGATACAACTGGGATGGGTTTGGGGATAGGACACTTGTTTTGAAGCCTTCATAAAAGTGGCCAGTGAGTCTCATGGGCAGACTTGTGAAAGAGGCAGTGGCTTCCCCAGGACCTCCCCACAGGAATAACACCCTTAATCCATGCACAGAACAATGCCAGGTAATGACTCCATTCCGGGAAGTGCTGAATAATGGGGAGATGGTGGCCTTTCCAGCCACCTGTCCTTTCCAGCAGGGGGTAGCCCTGCTTTCCCCACTGCATGAGACTCTAGCTGCCCATCAGCCATTTCCTGCTTTCCACACCAAGGGGAGCAACTTGCAATACTTTCACTTTGTTTCAGGGTAAAAGTGGAGCAGACACACAATGTACAGCCTTGTACTGGTGTAAACCACTCCACTCCAGGGAAAAAATCAGCCAGTATTAAGTGAGGTGTAATTAAACCCTGGTGAAGTTACTGCAGTGCATCAGCTTTGTGTCCAGTTCCCTAATCCAGGGCTGTCCAAATTCTATGCGACCCAGAGCCAAATGCCCCTGAGGCTGTACCAGCTGGGGCCACATGCTCCAGGCCTCATCCATGCAGGTGCCCTCCACCCCTGCGCTGTGTGTGCAGGTACCCACAGCTACACTACACCCACATGTGCTCCCACCCCTCTGCACTGTGCACGTTGGTCACCCAGCCTTAACCTCAGCTTGTGATAGCCATTTGCTCAATGCCAATTGGTTCTTTATGCCATGTAACAGTGAGGTACTGTCTTGGCACCTACTGCAGACAGTGAGCTTGAGAGTTGAATCCTTGGCAAATTACTCGATAACTGTATTCCATATAGGCACCCGAAGTTCTTCTAATGGTTTCAACTCTCTCTGAACCCATGGGTGCCCCTGGCCTGCTTTCTTTTAGTGGGGCAGCAAGAATGAGCTGAACTGGGAGGGGAAGGCCATAGGGATGGGATCAGAGACAAAGCAGTGGCCTACAGCTCTGCTCACTGAAAATGCTTGATGATCAGGGAGGGGTCTGTGATCTCCTTGGGAATCCGGGTGACCATCAGTGTCCGGGCAACCTAAGAGAGGAGGGAAGTGAAAGGTGTTAAGGCTGGAGGGGATGAAGAGCAGGATCATGCTACTAGGTATGTTCCTATCTGTATATCACATTCTGCTCTGCTTGGAAGTGCTTTGCTCAGAAGCAGGCAGTGTTTTTATGTTTACTGCCTGGATGGAGGACACTGGTACCCAGGGAGGGGAAAGGGCTGGAACAGCACCACACTATGAACTGGAAGCAGAGTTAGGAGCCCAGTCCAGGAGTCTCGATTGTTGGCTCCAGTACACTGAGCTTCCCAAGAAGTGGGAAGAGAACCCAGGAGTATCCTGGTGTAACCACTGGACACACTTACTTGTGGCTCTAACTGCACCAGTGTCATGGTGTAACTCTTGGCCCTACCACCACTTAGGAAATGGGAGAGCTCAGGCCTCATCAATGCCACAAACAAATCTCAACTCAAGGGAGAGAATGGGTGTGCATGTGTGTATGTGGGGGGGTGGGCCATTCTTTCTCCTCCATCTGGGAGAAATCCAACTCCTCATTCCCAGTCTGCCCAGTTCCTGGCTGATTGGAGAGATCAAGCTTATTCTGGAACTAACGACGGTTTCTGCAAAGGCAGAAATGGCAAAGCACAAGCAAAAGTGACCAGGGTCTCTTCAGGCTGGAAAGGGCAGAAAGGGTAGAGGGCTGCTTACCTTCTCATTTGCCTTGTATTCCAGCTGGACTGAGTGATGTGCCATGGAGAAGATGGTGACAATGAAATAGATGAGAGCGAAGATACTGTGTAACCACAGGAGACGGTCTCTAGGTGAGATGAAGGAACAGATCAGCTAATAAAGCAGCACCCACCCATGGGGACCAGTGGCACCCACTGCAGCCCAGTTCTCTCCCCAACTGGGGAGCAAGCAGACAGCCTATCACAGTGAAAACCATCAGGGCTTGGCATCCCCAGTCTTAGAAACTCCTCTTCCAGACATGGGTGCAGGAGGGCTGGCTGTGAGTTCAGTTCACAGTTATTGCAGACTTAGCCCCTTCCCACAGGGAGTGCTAAAGGGAAAGTTGCAGGAGTACCAGCTGAGCTGCTGTAGAAATGTGTCAGGATAACATGCAAGCTCAAGGTACTCCAGTGCCAGCCTGCCCCAGCAGAAGGTGCTGAAGTGACTGGTGTGGGCATACCGGCTGTCATCTCTTCTGGGGTAGTTGTACACATCTGTGCATCAGCTGCTCACACAACTGTGCGATGCCCAAAGACAGGGGATCTTTAGGAGTCATGCACGAGCAAACCCCTAGCATCGACCACCAAACTGGTCACGGTCTAACCCTGTGTGCTGGCGCCCCACTCGCTCCTGGTAGGCGGCAGGGGGTGCAGCTGCGAGGTGCTGGGGGCACGTACTGTGTTGGGATATTGGCGATGGTCGTCCGGCCAAAGTGAGCTGGATTACTTCCTGGAAGGGAAGAGGAGAGACAGAAGGAATGGGAGAACTGAATGTGTTCAAGAGGTTTCAAAGATATGAACAGCTCCACTATGCCAGCTGCCTAGGTTCCTCCATGGCTCCTTCTGCTATACTTAAAGGTACCCTGGTATCTGCATTTTCAAATACTCCGCAGCTGCCCACCAAGCCGCCCCACACTGTAGAGGAAAGACCTCTGTCACCACCACAGTGCCTAGGACTTGCTTCCCAGGAACCACACACTATCCAGGACCCGTAGATTTCACAGCCATTAGGGCTGGAAGGGATCTCGCAAGATCACTGGGTCCATCCCCCCCTGCCCAAAGACTCTATATTCCTGTCTGACAACCCACAATAAGACCATTGTTACCCCAACCTGCATGGTATACAAGACACACCCACATGCTGAGGGAAGCAGTGTCCTACCATGGGGATCCCCTAGCAGGCCTGCAGAAGAACCTACCCAGGAGGTCCCCCGAGAAGTTGACAGGCAGGATGACAGCCACAGAAAGCACACAGATGATCATGAGCAGCACCAGGAGGTGGCGCTGGAAGGAGAGGTAGGTGGTAGCATCGATCCCACATCTGCTTTGAATCTCTTCATCCCTGGAGAAAGGAGGTGGAGGGCTCATTAGTATAGCCAAGATGGTGTCACCTTCCAGCACCCAGCCCAGGGCAAGCAGCCACCACACCCCAGTAGGAAGCTGGGTGGCAGACCACAAGCTCAGACTCCTGTGTTTGTGAACACATGGGGGTTTCACAGGGGAGTGCTCTGAACCCCATGAAGAGTAAGGTTCAGGCACATATGTAATGCAAGATGGACAGGTTTCCTACTGGGAAATTGTCCAGCAGGGTGGATAGGACCCCAAAGGGAGGGGTAGGAACCTAGGACATTTAACCTGGGCTTGGCAAAGCTGTGGAGGGTATGCTGAAAGGGACAATACTGTCCTAGCCCCTGAAAGGGCTAAGGGTCCTAATGGTTTTCTGTCTAATCCCCATGGCAGTCTATCTCTTCTCTTCCACAGATCTCAGATGGCCACAGGAGGTGAGGAGTGAATCATCAAGGATCTGGCCAGAGAAGCACCAACAAACATTGGTACATTTCTGATTACCCAAGTGCTGAAGGGGAGGATGAGGATGGAGGGAGCCACAGAACACTGAAGAAGAGTCACCCACAAGAACAGCCCAGCCAAGACAGGCGACAAGCACGAGAAATACCCAGGCAAGACACAGGGGCCCAGATAGTCCTGTGATTAGGGGGGCGGTACATGCGCCTTCAGGAGGCCTTAAGTGCCTCTACTCTAATGCTCATAGTATGGTGAACAAGCAGGAGGAACTTGCCCTCCTGCTAGCTAACACAAACCCAGACATAGTGGGGCTCACTGAAACTTGGTGGGCTCCAACACATGACTGGGCAGTGAACATCAAGGGCTATAGGCTGTACAGGAGGGATAGAACAGGGAGGAAAGGCGGGGGTGTGGCGCTCTATGTCAAAGAGCAATACATGTCCTCAGCAAACAGCACTGGGTCAGAGGAAGGGCAGACTGAAGTGCTCTGGGTCACAATACAAGGGGGTCGGGGGGGAAAGGGACTTAACGGTGGGGGTCTACTACAGACCACCCAGCCAGGGAGAAAAACTAGACTGGGAATTCTCAGGTCAGCTTGCGGAGGCAGTTAAGTCAAAGGATGTGGTGATCATGGGTGACCTAAACTATCTGGACATCTGCTGGGAAGAGCAGTCAGCCAGGTCTGACCGCTCATGTAAGTTCCTAGCTGAGTTACAGGACCTCCATCTAACCCAGGAGGTGCACAGTCCCAGCAGGAGAAATGCCTTGTTGGATCTGGTCCTGGCCACAGGCAACGACTTGGTGAGGGGGCTATGGGTGCTCGACCACCTGGGCGATAGTGATCATCGCCTACTGGAATTCACCATCCAGCACAGGGTGTCAAAGGCCTGCAGCAAGGCAGCAGCCCTGGACTTCAGGAAGGCAGATTTCAATGAGGTAAGGAGACTAGTTGGGGAGGCTCTGAGGTCCCAGAAGGGAGGGCAGTTGGGAGTCCAAGAAGAGTGGTCGTTCCTTAAGGAGATTGTCCTCCAAGCCCAAAGGGTGACAATCCCAACATGGATCAAAGGGGGCAAGAGTGCTCAAAAGCCCCCATGGCTCGTCAAAAACATCCAGGAACGTCTCAAAAAGGAGGCATACATCCAATGGAAGGGAGGGGCCATCACCAGGGAGGATTATATTTCCTTGGCTCGAGATTGTAGCGGGGCTGTTAGGAAGGCTAAGGCGGAGATGGAACTGGGACTAGCGACCCAGAAACAAGAAGTCCTTTTTTAAATACATAAGGAGTAAAAAGAAGGTACCGGGTAACATGGGGCCTCTGCAGGACACGCTAGGAAATCTGGTGGTTGCACCAGACGACAAAGCTAATCTCTTTAACAATTTCTTTGCCTCCATTTTTCTGAGCAGGGACCAGGTCATCCTCCACATCGGGATCCCTGACAGTCGCAGGGGAGGCACAGCCAGGCCCAGGGTCAGTGAGGACCTAGTCAGGGAACTTCTGGTGGGACTACATGTGTTCAAATCAGCAGGTTCTGACGATCTCCACCCCAGAATGCTGAAGGAATTAGCAGAGGTCATTGAGGGACCCCCGGCATGGTTTACGAGCACTCATGGTGCTCTGGCGAGGTGCCGGAGGACTGGAAAAGGGCCAATGTGGTTCTCATTTTCAAAAAAGGGAGGAAGGAGGACCCAGGAAACTATAGGCCTGTTAGTCTTATCTTGGTCCTGGGGAAGCTCTTTGAGAAAATTATCCAGGTGCATATCTGTGAGAGGCCAGCAGGGGAGATTATGCTTAGGGGCAACCAACATGGGTTCGTTAGAGGCAGGTCCTGTCAGACCACCCTGGTGGCCTTCTATGACCAGGTCACAAAATCCTTAGATGCAGGTGTTGCGGTGGACGTAGTCTTCCTGGACTTTAGGAAGGCCTTCGACACCGTCTCTCACCCCATTCTCGTTAAAAAATTAGGTAACTGTGGTGTTGATGTCTACACGTTTAGATGGGTCGCTAATTGGTTGGAGAGCTGCACCCAGAGAGTGGTTGTGGACAGGTCATTTTCGACCTGGAGGGATGTGGGCAGTGGGATCCCCAAGGGGGACATCTTCATTAGCGACTTGGATGAGGGGGTGAAAAGCACCTTGTTCAAATTCGCAGATGACACTAAGATGTGGGGAGACGTGGGCACACTAGAAGAAATGGACAGGCTGCAATTAGATCTAGACAGGTTACAGGGGTGGGCCGATGAGAACAGGATGGGTTTCAATACTTACAAGTGCAATGTATTGCACCTGGGGAGGAAGAACCAGCAGCATACCTACAGGCTGGGGAACTCCCTTCTTATCCGTACAGAGGCAGAAAAGGATCTTGGAGTCGTTATTGACTCCAAGATGAACATGGGCCGACAATGTGGGGACACGGTCAGGAAAGCTAACCGCAACTTGTCATGCATCCATAGATGCATCACGAGCAGGTCCAAGGAGGTGATCCTCCCCCTCCATGCAACATTGGTCAGGCCGCAGTTGGAGTACTGCATCCAGTTCTGGGCACTGCACTTCAGGAGGGATGTAGACAGCATCAGGAGGGTCCAGAGGAGGGCCACTCGCATGATCAGGGGCAGCAAGGCTGCAAGGCTGCAGGGGGCAGCAAGGCTATGAGGGGAGGCTACGGGACCTGAACCTGTTCAGCCTCCACAAGAGAAGGTTAAGAGGGGATCTGGTGGCCGTCTATAGACTGACCAAGGGGGACCAGCAGGCAATGGGAGAGTCCCTGGTGCCCTGAGCACTACCAGGAGTAACAAGGAATAGCAGCCATAAGTTAATGGAGAGTAGATTCAGGCTAGATATCAGGAGGCACTACTTCTGTCAGTGTGGCTAGGATCTGGAACCATCTTCGAAAGGAAGTGGTGCTCACTCCTACCCTGGAGGGTGTTCAAAAGAAGGCTAGATAGACACCTAGCCAGGGTCATTTGGCCCCAGCATTCTTTCCTGCCCATGGCAGGGGGTCGGATTTGATGATCTGCTCAGGTCCTTTCCAACCCTACCAACTATGAAACTATGAAACTATAAAACTGGAGCTGGAAATTGCCTGGAAAACGGTCTCTCCTGTGACAGTTCCAGCATTTTCCCACCCCAAGGGACCCGAGTAGAGACATTTTCTTGCTCTTCCAAACCCAAATGGTATTTTCAGAAATGAGGGGAGAAGTATGTCAGACTTTCTGAACTCCAGATAAGTGGTGGGACCCCTGAATGACTCACAGGGCAGGAAGGGAGCAATCACCAAAAGCAGAGCAAGTTGGAGATGGAGCAGGACAAGGGACAGAGTGTTGGATAATAAGTAAAAAATCTGCACTCCTTTCTTACCCAAGGCTGCCAAGGGAGGCCAAGTGGATACAACAACCTGGGGTTGAAGGCACCATATATTGGTGAGGGTGCCTTAGTAAATTGAAAGGCAGAATGAGGCATGGTTGCCATTCCCCTGTACAGATTGGGAAGGACATGTACTTACTTCATTTGGTAGATGGAAATGAGCCAAGAGCAGAATCCCTAGAAAGGAAGATGGAAAACAAGATCAGTTAGTGGAGGTCAATGCAAGATACCATAAGAGCAACATGGGCTGAGAGAGCTTCATGTAGGGAAGTGGGTGCCGGCAGCACTACAACCATGGCTGGGGAGAACAGGGAATGCCTTCAATGCATCAGCTTGTGTTATGCTAGCACAGCTGCCGTTTTGAACTCAAAGACAATGCTCCTACCAGCACAGACAGAACAACTCTTGCCTCTTAGGGCAGAAGGCTTGATTGCTTTCCACTGCTTTTGCTGCAATTGCCTGGGGATCTTTACTTTCCACATGGGCAATCAGCAAAGGAAGCAGAGGGCTCAGGATAGGCATATGAGGAGAAGGGGAGAGAAACCAAGTGTTAAATGCACCTGGCCACATTCCAGGGCACGAGTCTAGGCAGCATGACCTAGAACATTGGTTCTCAGCCTTTTGAGACTCAAGGCACCCCTCATTAGATTCAAGGCACTCCTTGGAAGATGCCAACTCTTAGCATTCATTCATTTCTTGACTACAGAACAATACTAGAGTAATTCTTCTGTTGCAAAGAACTCAAAAAGGCCACAACAGGTCAGAATGCTTTTGACACTCTGAGTTCCTACTTGGAATCTCTGGGTTGATCTTGTAATTTCATATCTAACAGTGCTAATATTGTGCAATACTGTTACAAAGACCTTGAAGCACCCCAGGGTGCCATGGCCCCCTCATTGAAAATCAGTGGTCTAGAATAATGATGACTCCAGAGGGACATATGTGCACCTTATAAATATCTTCAGAGTGACTGTGTAAATGGAAGGGACCTACTAATACTCTCAGGAGGCAGCTAGCAGGATGAGGAGGGAAAGTCCTGAGGCTCAGGGAGAAAAATTTAGGCTACAGATGTCTTTACAGCAAGTAACCACAGCAGAGGGCCAGGAGGGCGAGGCCCTGTCTTTGAGAGCAGGTTAGGGGGGAGAGGTCAAGGGAGAAAATAGCAGGGGGATGAACCCTGCAAAATCAAGGGGCCGGGTCTACACTGCCCTCCCTGCCCCACCTTGGTATGGTAGCCTTTAGCTCAAGCACTCCTTCCCAAGGATATCTCCTCCTCAGTACCTGACCTAGAACTGCCTGGTAGTATCAGTCTTGAAGACGAGTTTGCATCCTGGGAGCCAATGCTCCTTATGCAGCATTCAAGCAACTCTGCTTGGCTTCAGTATGACTTGACTCCATAGCCACCTGGCATCAAGGGAAGATGTACATGCAGTGAAATGTACACTGACTCCCTTACCCCTGTTAGGGAGTCAGGGTTAGGGGCCAGAAAGGAATTCCTAGACCTTGGCCAGGATTTGCTACTGGAGGAGGTGCTGCTCTACACAGGACTCTGGAGTTTCTGTCACCAGTTTGTCTAGCTCTGCTTGGCCTGGATGGAGATGGCACAATGGTAGAAGTCAGTACCACAGGAAGGGAGGGGCAAGTGGGGTGACTGCTCTGGGCACTGAAGCAAAAGGGCACCAACAGGTGAGTTGTGAGTTGATATTTTGTTATAAATATGTTGAAAAATTTTGGCTCATGTGGTCAATAATGTCGCTGATAAATGCCGCGTGCATGCACACTGCTGCAGCATGCACATGGCCAGTCTGGCAACTTGGAGAGCAGTGCCTGACTGGTGAGTCTGTTGTGGGGGACAGTTGGGGTGGGGGCAGATTGAGGCCCTCTGGTGAGGGTGGAGGGGGACTGTGACTGGAACAGATAGTGCCCAGCTGGGGTAGGGTGCAAGACAGAACCACAAGCAGCTTGTCCGGGGGGGGCGCAGGGTGGGGGTGGGGGCAGCTCCCACCACTGTGTGCACCCCCAGGCCCCGGATCTGGGTGTGGGATGAGGGAGGGCTGCGACTACAGGCTTGCCAAGGGCACCAAACTTCCTCGCTACAGACAGTGCCCATACTCTGTCTGCGTTAAGTCTCCTGCTGCTAGTGTAAGCAATTAAATTGCTCTGGGGTGATAGGAAAAAAGGCAGTGATTTCCCCCAACCTGCCCCCCCTAATAAGAACATCAGAACAATGCAGCTTCCCAGGAAAAAAAATGAGCAGCTCTTTGATCTGCTGCTGGTTCAGATGAAGCAGGAAGCTCTGTGCTTGTGACCCAATTCCATTTCTGACCTGGGCTTCCAATAATAACACTTCCTCTTGGCACAGGATGGAGCTAACTTCCCCCACTACATCCTGCTGGACACTCACCACATCTTTGTTATCAGCTTCCAGCGGGCTGGTCTCGGAAGGGGATTTCTCCTTCTCACTCTGCTCTCCATAGAACAGTGACGTCAGGCTTTCAGGGAAGACAGAAAGGATGACAAAGGAAAAGTATAGAGAGAGGGAGAGGAAGAAGAGAATGAAAGAGGCAGAAGGACAAAAGGAAAAGGGAAAATGTAAGATCCTGATCAGACTTTCATCAAAGTGATCAGAAGCTTTCCCTTAGTTATTGAGACCTTCCTGGGCAATCAACTGGGCTGGGACAGTGCCTGTGCATTTCTAGCCCAGAGGCTGGCAGGGATTTCTCAGCTCAATAGCTTACGTAGTCAGTTCTTCCATCAGCCTGTTCACTAAGCCAGTGAATCAGCAGGTGGTAGAAGGACTCTGTGCATAAAACCACTACAGTCCCAAAGCATGTCACCCCCACCCCATCACCCAAGGAAGTCACTGCAGTTCCTATGCCCAGGTTATAGTTTCATGGTCACTAGAACAGTGATTAGACACATGCTGCCATTGCTGAGTGGGCATATCGAACTCAACTGATGGCCACCAGATACAGGAGAGATGAGACACCAAGTCAGTCAACAATGGTAATATTGTAATGAATGAGAGATTGGGTGTGCATGTCTGCACACATGCTACTCTCTATAGAGCAGAATCAGAATTGCTTCACTAGGTGTCATAGGCCCTGTAGCACTGACAGCTAATGGGAGCATCTCTTTCAGCTCACATGCTGGATGATTCCTGTAAAATGAATTTTTACAGCCCCATAGTTGATCTCAGGAGACATTCCAGTACTTTTTAATCCCAGCACATGTTTTGAATCTTGCCTGCGCCCCTTTGATCTGTCCCAGGAGGGAAAACCTCATCAACACATTTCCAGTTTTAGACCCAAAGCCAGAGCAGAAGAAAAACCAAAGGAGAATAAAGATCAGAAAAGGGTTCTAGAAACAATTTCCTGTAGCCAGCCTCATGCCTTGCAGAGACTACCCCACATTCCCCCATCACCACATCTGTGCTACCCCCCACCCCCAGTGCATCCTAGGGAAAG